GAATTATTGAAAATCGTCTCGTGTACCTTTCTGCAGTGATTTTGTAGAGCAAACATTTCTCTTTCATATGAAATATGAATGGACCGTAAGGATTAAGCTGTTTCTGAGATATTGAAGAAACATTGATTAACTTCAGGTGATCACTGAAAAGTTAAGACCCCCTAATTCATGAACAGTGTCATACGAAGGCGAGATATCTTGAATTTCTTAGTTTTTCGATGAGCTCTTTCGAACTACAATACTAACAGAAAAATAAACTGTTACGAGGAACGGGCTCTCTGGAAATTTATTGCGACATTACGTATATATTTTTATTTGGAGATACGAAGGCTGCATTCTAGCAAAGAGTTTTACATTTCAGAGTGGTGTCCTAACATATATGTTTTAAAGAGTAAACAAGTTCTTTGTGACCTTATGATTTTTATATTTTTCTAAGAGATAATAAACAAATTGGAAAATTTTGTTTTCGTTTGTGACAAGATAACACTTAGTGACACTAAGCAGATCTGTCCAAACAAGGCTTCTTGTGCCTTGTCATCGTTCGGAAATACTTTAAATGAAACACTTGTCACAGCGTTATGACAGAAAAAACAGATTACTTCTGTGAATGCGCAAAACGAGTTTTTCATTGAAAAATACAACCATCAGAAAAAATGCAAAAGAGTAGTCAGATGAGGGTGAGGGTTAGCTAAGACGATCCATATTCGAAGCTATAGCACTATTTTATTTTTGGCTTAATCATACATTATTCGATAGAAAACTTCACGCTGATCAAAAATATCTGGCTTTTAGCCTTCCCCGGTGCACATTATCAGTGAAAAAAATTCAGAGAACTTGAAGAATCTCTTTTTTCGAAAAACCACTAACCTGGTTCCACCTCATTTAGAAGCCGTGCAACTATGTTTTTCTTATTCAGCGCTGAAAACTGCATCTAGAAAAATGTATTTCAAAGTTCCGCACCAAAAAATATATTCCGGGCGCGAAATGGATCCGATATATCTGCAGCGTTAAACTTGTTCAAGTCGCACTATAAGTTATTTATCAGGGAAGGTGGAGCATAACATATTCTCATTATCAGTTAGTTGAAACACACAATGAATGGTATGGAATCCAAGTTGAAAATGTACCGTTATTATAAACTCACCTGAACTTATGTTCATCGCATTTGATTCGACATGATGAATATTTTCTTGAATATTAATTAGAAGATTATCGTCGGGTGCTAATGATTTTGATCCAATTTCAAGAGCCTCTCTAAGGTGTTTTAATGCATTTTCTTTATCGTCTAGTTCGAAATATATCAATCCAATTTGATTTAATGTTTCTAGAATGATACGATGACCATATGGAACATACTGACGATAGATGCTTAATAGTTTTTGTGCAAATAATAGGTCGTCTTCGCCGGCGCCATCATCAGCAAATTCTTGTAGTATGACGCTATTTGTAGTTGCAGCCTGTAACAGCAGCGGACTGTCTGCATGGAATGTTTTGAAAAGAAATTCTATCGTTTGTAATTGATATTCATAAACCTGTGTTATATCGCTATCATCGTTTTGTAATCCATCTATCATATTCTTAGTAAGCATACTTAGGTTAGAAGGACCTATTTGTTCAAAAACTGCCGGTAAATTTCGCATTACTAAGTCCGCATATTTTTGTGACAATACATCGTTTCCATTAAGTGAATGAATTGTAGCAAGGTAACCAGATACTTCCAAAATCAAGGGATGACCTGGTGGCAACGATTTCGAATAAATTTCAAAAGCTTTCTCGTAATTTTCCTGTGCTTCTGAATATTCTTCTAACTGCTGCTGTAATTGTCCGATAGCTTTATAACTCAGTCCTATTAGATAATGATTAGAAGATAGCGTTTGCAGCTGAATATCAAGTCCTTTTTGTATGATTTGTAATACAATTGCTGGATCGGTTTGGCCATTCAAAACGTTTTGCAGGCTAGAAAAAATGCTGTCAGCACCAAGTTCTGTAGAGGGCAATAATTTAGAACAAATTTCCAGTGATTTTTTCATATAATTGTTTCCTGCCTCTGCGTCGCCTTTTGCATAGTTTACGATTGCTATACCTTGATAAGCTTGGGCAAAACACTTCGGATCTGGAAGTAGTGAATCAGTACAAATTTGTAATACTTTTTCGAAATAGCCTAAACCTTCATCAAATTTTAATTTAGATACACAGACATTGCCGGCACCTAGAAAAGTTTCTGCAATGGTTTGATTATCTGCAGGATGTTGATTGATCAACATTTGAAAATATTCTTCACTTTTGTTGAATTCTCCCATTGCTATCATTAGTCCACCCAATGTTTGGAGTGTCGGTGTTTCACCTATCATAGTTTTTAAAACATTAGATAATTCTGTATTTTCTTCGTCTTTTAATTCTAAGAATATATTGCAAATTCCGTTATCTACTTCACTAAACGATTGTATACGAAATATTGCACCCATTGAAAATAGTATTTCATCTTCTCGATGGAAATAACTCAAATTTTTTATATCAGCATATGGTTTGCTAACGGTTGCATGCGTATCAACATCTACTTGAAACAATACACCAACTAATTCATTACTACGTGTGGTATTCGCATGAAACTGTGTAGCAACCTCTTTATTTGTACTTGTAGACAGAAATGTTGACATACCAATTAAACCTCCAACATTATTTTTTATTTTATTTAACTCATCGATTGATATATTCTGTCCTCTATAAACAGTTATATTTGGTGGTGTTGAACGAATGAACTCTACATGTGCTTTCATTAATTGTTGATAGAGATCTTTAATAAAAAATCGAAATTTAAATATAATATTTATATCTTGTGTACGTAATGCTTTATTCATTAAACGATATAAGAAACAGTCGCGTGTATACCACCAAATAGCCTCA